CGCAGCCAACGACTGTGATTTACCTACCCTATTTTTGGAATTAGTTTTGATCGTAGCCTACCTTTGTCATTTGTTTTTAAAAAGTAATTATTTAAAAAAAAATCCAAAGGAATTAGAGTGCATTGTACTGTCAGAATATAAGAAAAGAGAGATACATGAGAAACCCTTTTTAATTCTATTAGACAGAAAACTATTACTAAGATATTTAACCTATTAACATAATCAAGATTTGCTGCTAAACCAATGAGAGATAATAATAAATATAACAAACAATTTCAACAAAATATTGTATGTAACGGACTCCCAATGTTTACACGTCATTAGTTCTTAATGCGCTATCTTCACATGCATGTCTTCCCATACGTGTTTGTTAAGAAATTTAAAAGTTAAATCCAAAATTGTTCAATTTATCAACCTATTTTATGTTTTAAAATTTGAATAATTATTATTTTATAATAGTTAATTTTAACATGAATGAAAGGAGTGAATCACACGAAATAGTATATTTATTAATGTTTTATCATAGTGACAACTTTAACACATCATGTTTTTGCTACTCTACACAAAGTATCGTTTATTAGGGAAAAAAATATTCATGTCAAAAGTTCAAATGTCATATCGACTTATGAAAATTTGGACATTGATGAATAATTAAGAAATTTATTAAAAAAACACATTTAAATAACAAAATAAACATTTCTACCTTTTTTTTAATAGATTGAATTTTAATATCAATAATATTGTATCTATTTTTTGATACTTTTTATATTTCGTTGATATTTTTATGATATAATGAAAATTTCGATTCACCATTTACACGTAACTGTGAAATTCACTCGTGAACATATTAAAATATGAATGGAAATGTTGATTCTTGGATAGTAAAATTTAATATCCTACTAACAATGTAACTTGTTTATACTCTATAGTTAGAGATGAAATTGTTATTTTTTTTAAAAGTGAAGGATGTTATTTTAGAATTTCTACCTTTTTTTTTAATCACATAGTTTAAAAACTATTTTAAAAAATAAACCCACCAAATAGATATCCACTTAATGAATCCGTACTAAAGTGAAATGACAAAAGATAAAAATGGAAAAGGAATCTTTTTTTTAATACAAACAAATTAGGGTAGGGAGTTCATACCTCCGACCTCAAGGGAAGGAGAAAAGATTAGGTGGTTTAAATTTTCGAGGCTTGGGCTTCAATTAAACTCTTCGGGCTAAACAAGTTTGGAAGATCATTAAAAAAATCCAAATTTGTTACTCTTATGCTATGGAGGGCTTGGAGGTGATGGTCTGATCAGATCTAATTCAACCAATATTGCTTTGTAGGGGTGAGGATTCGAACCACTTAAGATAAGTTTAGGTTAGTGATAATCTTACCTGGTTCAACCTTATAATTTTGTGAGCTAGGGTCATTTTTATGCTCCCCACGACAATTGGAAAGCAATTTAACAAAATGAGCTATTTTTAATAATAAATTATTTATGGATCATGGAACTAATTTATAGATAAATCTCGACAATTTTACCCACACTTGCACTAAAATGGTTGTTAGCGAACAGTTTTAAACCTGTTTCTCAAAATTGAATGATTATAATTTACATTTAAATTTATTAGACAGAAAATTGAAAGTTCAGAACCTATTAGATACTAATTTTTTTAAAAAAAGGGTAAATTTTGGCAACTTATACAACAAATGGAGTAGAAGATTCAAACTTATGATAACTTGATCAGAGATTGATGTCAATTACCATTGAACTAAGTTCATGTTGACCGTGAGTCTTGAAAACTTTTGTATGAAATAAAAAAGAACTGATCAGAGATTTCCCTACGAACAATAGAGTTTGAAGAAGGGAAAGGAGAAGGCGTCCTCATCATTCTTTGGCTCAATGAGATGTATTTCCACCGTGCTCGTTTTTTCAATTATGAAGCAGGCCAGACGATTCTACTCACATTGGTCCTAGTGCCCAGATGGTTTGGCCAATAGTGAGCCAAAAAATATTAAATGGTGATGTAGGCAGGGTTTTTGAGAAATACAAATAACCTCTATTTTTTTTTTTCCAAATATGATGGGTAAATTACAACTATATTATACCACATTGGTGCATTAGTCTTTGCAACCTTAATGCTTTTTGCCCGTTGGATTCATTATCACAAGGCTGTTCTAAAATTGGCTTGATTCAAAGATGTAGAATCCACGTTAAATCACCATTTGGTCGTTTTGATGCAGTGGAAGTCATCGGTTCGAGCCTCATTATTACTAAACTCAACGTGAGCTTTTCTATTTTTCCTTGTTCCCCGCCCCCTAAAGAATTCAAATAATTTTAAATTTAACCTTTTAAAAGCGAATTTAGTGGTTATGAGCCAAAGATTAATTAGAAATTGAATAATGAGTAAAAATATAAGGAATTGAAGTTGAGAGTTTACCATGAAAATTGATACAATTTGTTAGGGGTTTAAGAGCTGTCGTCTTCTTCTTCTTCTTCTTCTTCTTCTTCTTCTTCTTCGCCATTTGGTTCAGAACCCCTCTCTCTGGTTTCTCCATTACAGAGGGGCCGAGAAGTAGAAGAAGAAGTAGCCATGCTCCGTCAAACTCTTCACACGCCTCGCAGGTTCTCCTCTGAATCCCTCAAACAATATTTCCCACTCCTCTCCTCTCTTGCTGCTGCAATCCATTCCACCGCTAATGTCTCTGCACCCACCACGGATGCTCATTCTTCCATCAATGGCCGGAGTAACGGGAGCGAGAGCAACCCTTTGCCGTGCTCTTCTCAGAAGCCATTGCTGCGAAATCGTAGGACCTCAAGGCAGGGCGTGCGGGATTTTCAGCCTCATTTTAACAGGACCAAGACGAAGAGGATTGCGGCTGATGCATTCTCTGCGATTGAGCTGGCGTTGGATTCCGTTGTTAAGGTCTTCACTGTCTCCAGCAGCCCTAACTACTTTCTTCCGTGGCAGAACAAGTCCCAGCGGGAAACTATGGGTTCCGGTTTGTGGCTTTATGGACCCTCTTTGTTGATGGTTCGATTGATTGAGTTGTGTTAAACGGTTTTTATTTATGCCTTGGGAGTTTTGAAACTTGAGCGACTGTCTTCATCGTTCATTGATTGGGGCGGCGTTGTTATTATAATGATTTGGGAGTTTTTCTTCTTTGTATTTCCATACTTTAGATCTTAAAAGTCATTTCCTTGAATGGTTTTCACATGGTCCATAGAATTCATAATGGATTGTTATGCATATGCCTGCGCATGTTAAGTGGTTTAATTATCATTCATATTAGAAGTTTTTGGAAAAAAAAAGAGAGAGTATATTTTCATTTTCATTTGTGCTTTGAAATTGACCAAATAAAATCTTTTGTCGTGCTCTCTGTAAGCTAAGTTCTTATCTTTGTGTATATTTCTCAGTATCTATTTCGAAAAAAATGTAGGATTCATCATCTCTGGAAAAAAGATTCTTACAAATGCTCATGTTGTTGCTGATCATACCTTCGTCCTTGTAAGAAAGCATGGCTCACCAACTAAGTATCGGGCAGAAGTTCAAGCTGTCGGTCATGAATGTGACCTGGCTATTCTGGTTGTCAATAGTGAAGAATTCTGGGAAGACACTAACTGTTTGGAGTTGGGAGATATTCCTATCTTACAAGAAACTGTTGCTGTTGTTGGTTATCCTCAGGGTATAGACTTCTACCATTGTCCTTGTCCCAAGAAATTACATGTGGTAAAATGATAATTAGATTTGTAAATAGTATCTCCATCTTTCAAAAATGCTTCTTCAAGAATCTATTCCCATTTCAGCCTTGGGGCGGGCATGGGTGCCCCTGGGTATAGAGGAGCAAAGCTCCGGCTCCCAGTTATCAAAAAAAAAAAAAAATCTATGCCCATTTCTTTATGTATGTTGCATTCTAATTTTGCTTGGCCTAGAAGGTTCTTCTTTTTTTTTTTTTTATTATTTTATTCATTTCACTGGCAGTGGTAGTTGAAGATGCCTAGATTTTCTATTAGTACATGGGTCATAAGTTATCTTTTGAAACTAGGAATATGATCATCAATTCTTAATAGTCTCTATCTATGATCACTTCCTTGTAAATTATGGATACAATTAGAAAACTAAAGCCAAAACATCTAATCTTATGCATCCCTTTTGTGCCATTCACTTCCACGTGACAAAATGATAATGATGGTCTTGACATCTAAAGACATTGTTCCTCATAATTCTGGGTTTATCGCAGGTGGGGATAACATCTCTGTAACTAAAGGTGTTGTTTCTAGGATTGAACTTACACAATATGTACACGGTGCATCCCAGCTGATGGCTATTCAAATTGATGCCGCTATAAATCCAGGAAATAGTGGTGGGCCAGCGATCATGGGCGATAAAGTTGCTGGAGTAGCTTTCCAAAACCTTTCTGGTGCAGAAAATATTGGGTGAGTGATGACTTGGAAATTTTACTGGGATTAACAAACTCAGTATGCTTTCAGTGTTTGAACATGATTGCAGGTCGCAAATTGTATCTTTTCTTAGGTTATTTTAACCTTATTTTCCCACTTTGCTGATATACTTGGTCAATATCACAACCATTAAATAACAAAAAGTTGTATTGTCTAAGTTAAATACTCGTGCTTATTTTGGAAAAACGGGCCACCAAGGTTGTTTCTCTTATAAATTAAAGTTAGATCGCCTTGTAGTCTCATTAAATAACCAAAGTTTTAACCTTCTTAAAGCATTTTGAATCCAAAGTGCCAAAGAATGTTCAATTGTTTGCTTGGGTTTTAGCTCATGACAAGATTGATGCTAATGATTTCCTTCATATAGGGCTATATGTGAATGTATTTCTATTTTTATGCAATTGGTGATTGACCATCTAGATACTCTCTTTTGGATTCATCTATCAAGACTCTCGCTTCAATAAAACTTGTATGATATGAAAGAAAATAAGGTAATTACCTCCGATCTTTTTTTTTTTAATCTTTCCTTGATGCTCAACGAAATGACCCCTATTTAAAGAATTCACATGTTTGATTCCAAGTTAATTCAGCTACTTCATCATTACAAAAAGAAGTCTACAGTGAATCTTGCATTTGGGACCATTGTGTAAAAATAAATTGAATGATTTAATTTACTCTCGCCTAAAAATTTAAGGTTTGTGAATTAGTGATAATTTAACAACTAGCATGATATCAAATAAAGTGATCCTAAAGCTTAAGCTAACAAGGTTCAAGTAAATATAGTCATTTTAATCTATTATTGATATATTATCAATTGAGATACTCCTAATTATCAAGTCAAGGAAAGGACCTTAATGTCAACAACAATTTCATTTGAAAGAATGCCATCATGGCTCTACTTTGGGGAGCTTGGATTAAATGGAATGAAACAACTTTAAGGATGAGTGATTGAAGCTTTTTTTTTAAAAAAAAGGCCTTGGATGATATCACTTTCTAATAACTCTACCGACATCCATAAAATCTACTTATGAGTTATGCCTGATACTAAAATTTCATTCAAGATTGGTCGAAGTTTTAGATGATACACTATTTCTTAAGACTTGGTGATTTAGAAAATGCCTCAATCGGGAATAAAGAGAGTTCAGTAACAATGGAGGGAAGCACCATATCTCAAATGAAAATTGGACGGGGTAGATAGAGCATCGATGGGAGAGTGAAGAAATTTATTAGCCTCAAGAATAGGATTGTATGATGCTAACGTAGGAAATAAAAGAATAGAGGAATCTTTGGTCATTACAGTAGCTGGATTAGAACAGTGCTGGGGGGCTGTCTGATGAGTACTTTTGTTTCTCTTTTCTTTGTTGGTTTTACTTTCACTTGTACACGTTCTATTACTCACGACCTTAAACAAATTTTCTTTGCTTAGTTCTTTACACATTGTAAATGGATTCCGCAGGTACATAATTCCTGTCCCTGTGATTAGACATTTTATAGCTGGTGTTGAAGAGAGTGGAAAATATGTTGGATTCTGTTCTCTTGGTTTGTCTTGCCAGATTACTGAAAATGTTCAACTTCGAAACCACTTCCAGATGGGCCCTGAAATGACTGGAGTACTTGTGAACAAAATTAATCCCCTTTCAGATGCTTACAGTATCCTGAAAAAAGATGATATCATTCTTGCATTTGACGGTGAGCCTATTGCCAATGATGGAACAGGTATCCTATTTCCATTCTGTAATATATTATCGTTATTATTATCTTATTGTTCCTAATTTTTGTACTTCTTCTATTTTCCCTATGTGCCCTCAAGGATTTCTCATGCTTTCTTAATTATTTAAGCTCCATTCAATAGCAGTTATATATATATATATATATATATACACTTTAGTTTTATGGTTTTAACTAGTGCTAGTTTACTTAAGATTTCATTACTTAGCTTTTCACCTTTTGAAACATTTTTAAACTTTTAGCCAAGTTGTGAAAACAAAAAAATAGAACTTTGGAAATTATTATTTTGATCCCACCTGATTGTGTCTCATTTTGATAAAACTCTTGATTTTTATTTGCAAGAATTCTTCCCATTGTAATTTACATACTATGCAGTTTCTTTCCGGAACAGGGAGCGGATAACATTTGATCATTTGGTATCTATGAAGAAACCCAATGAGAGATCTGTGATCAAAATTCTAAGGGACGGCCAAGTGTGTGAGCTCAGTATCACCCTCCGACCTGTATGCTTTCTGCAACTCGTACTTTTTCCTAGTTAATGATTTTCATGCATTTTTCAACTAGTGCCCTTTCTTCATTATCTCTTCCCAATGGCTTTCTAGCAATTATATTAATAAGTTCTATACTCTGCAGTTGCAACCCCTGGTCCCAGTTCATCAGTTTGATAAGCTTCCTAGTTATTACATTTTTGCTGGTCTTGTCTTCATTCCACTTACCCAGCCATATCTTCATGAGTATGGGGAAGATTGGTATAATACTTCGCCTCGTCGCTTGTGTGAGAGGGCGCTAAGGGAACTACCAAAAAGGCCTGGAGAACAGCTTGTCATCCTTTCACAGGTTTGCTTACATTTTTCTGAAGCATGCATGATAACTAATTTACATACAGGTTTTACATTGATTTTTATATGAAAATCAGTATGTCTCTTGGCAATGAAACCTTGTAAATCATACCTTAGTCTTTAAGAGCATAATAGAACTTGTTCTCATCTGGGTTATTCTATATTGATAATCAGATATTGAGTAAGGACTGAGAACTAAAGCTATATTCTAAAATCTTGACTGAAAATAACGAAGTAATGAAAGGAGTATGCACCTATTTTTATTACACGGAGTAAAAGGGTTACAAAACTGTTGGTTAACTTCATTTGTGTTGGATTAAACTAAATACAGCGATTTTGTACAGCCTTTACGGCTATCCTTTCTATTTAGGATAGTGATTTTCTATTATCTTTTTCTTCTTTCCTTACGAAACCAATGAAAGGTTCAGAAAACTCCCCAATTATTACTGATTCACTAATGGAATAATTATTAGAAAAAACACTAGAATTAGCGCACAGTCGCTTAGAATCTCACTAATTCTACAAATTCTCCTAACTAGAACACTTGTCTTCAAATAAAATTGAATTCCTTTTCTTATACATCTCTGCGCACCAAATAACTGTAAAATTTTACTCTTGGCATTAGCATAAAAAACTCAAGAGACTGTGTCCTTGCAACACAAAATCCCAGACTTCTCTGGTGAAAAAGCATTGGAAAAAAACACCTGAAAGCTGTCTACTTCTGCCTTTCCTGTAGTTGTTCCATTTAAGCGCTATGTAGTCTTTATTGACCAAGAAAAGAAGTTGAATATTATCCTTGTTAAAAAAACATGATATGGACCATGAATATTAAACATTTTAACCCCTTTTTGTAATACCTTTTTAGTTGGCTCCTTTTATTGGGCCATCTTTGTATGCTCCCATGTGTTCTCATCGTTTTCAATAAAAGCTTGTTTTCTATATTAAAAAAAGAAAACGTTTTAGAAGAAGAAAAAAGAAAGAAAAAGAAAAGATGAGCAGACAATTAAGATTTCTGATTCAATTCGGTAACTGCTACTTATTTCCATTTCCTCAGGTGTTGATGGATGATATTAACGCAGGGTATGAGCGTCTTGCAGAGTTGCAGGTAAGACACAGACATGCTCATAAATATATGGATACATTATTATTTGTACCTAAGCATTCATGTATATTATTGACATTGGAAATAAATAGAGACCAATTAGATTATTTGAATCATTTTGATATATTTGAAGTTCTTATATCTATATTTACTTCAATGTTTTTAACTTTTAAGGAGGTTTAAGTGTTATAATAGAGGTATTGGGGTTTTACCTTTCTGGTGTTGATTGTTATGATGGAAGGCCAAGATTCTGGATTTTGAAATTATGGAAAATAATTTTTCCTCGTGAATTCTAGAAAACCACTTGGATTTTAGTATGCTTCTATTGAGTCAATACTGTTCGAATTAAATTTGGTAAATCTTAAACTCACTAATAGTTTATGATAAATTTAATCTTTTTAACATATTCTTAACCCTCATCTCACGTGGAGGTTGGCATATTAATATCAAATCCAATACGTGGATTAAAGAGTTTGAACTTTGAACTTCCCGAATAGCTTAACTTAATAGGCTAGTATAAGTTTAATTTTTTTAATACACTCTCATAACCATATTGCCATTGCTTCTATTGTGTCAAATTGTCAATATTAGCATGGAGAAATTTTGTTTTGAATGAAGTGAGAACTTGATAATAGAGTTCAGTTCAATGTGAATAAATGGTTTAGAACTCTTCCTCATCGACGTTTCACTTGACTTAATTTGCTTTGCAACGCTCTTATGGATAGTTCAAAGCTTCAATCTGTTGAACATTCCTTGGTTTGCCCGAACAGGTTAAAAAAGTGAATGGATTTGAAGTTGAAAATCTGAAACACCTGTGGCAACTAGTGGACAATAGTGAAGGTAGCGTGAGGTTTGATTTGGATGATGAAAGGGTTATTGTGTTGAACTTCGAGATGGCCAAAATCGCGACTTCAAGGATTCTGAAGCGCCACCGAATAGCGTCTGCAATGTCTCAAGATCTTATGAAAGATGTAAGCATCTCTGACTCTGGATTAGCCTCCTCATAATCACTACATTACTTCACTAGGAACTCTCTTCAATAGATTTTCAAGTTGAGCATTGGTTTTGACTGGATAACCAACTTTTCTAATGTTGGCAAAAGCAAGTAGGTCAAATGGGTAACTTTATCTTACTTCAATTAGGAAGAGAAATTACTGCAACATCGGAGGTTTTTGTTTTTGTTTTTTAATTTGTATTTTACCCCTTCATTTTTCTATAGTTTTGATTCTTTGAAATTGTAGTCAATTTATCCGAAACAGTTGGAAGATTGTTTTACATTCAGAGAGCTGTTCAATTGAGATTCAGTCACTTTCTTACTTCCTCCATACTTATTTTTTAGATTAATTTATTCTTTTAAACGGTTGGGTTAGTCCCATTAGAAGTGGGTTGATGCTCTATTACAAAGTTTTGAACAGATATGCTTGATGAAGGTTTCTATTTTTATTTTTCCGTGTTTTAGAATATTACAATACATTTAACAAATCATATTTTTTTAATTATTTATTTTTCAAGGTTAGTGTTAATTAAGAGGAAATGGGTTTAAACCTCAATCATTTAGCTATGTTTAAATATGCTACATTTAACAAATATTTTTTTAATTATTTATTTTCCAAGTTCTATTTTGGAAAAAAAATAGATTTAAGCATTAAGAGTAAGTTAACAAAATTTTAGAAGTATAATGGTTATCAAGAAGTAGATGAAAACCATGTGGTTTAATTTTTATTAAAATATTTCATCCATTATTATGACCTTTTTATTTAAAAAATAATAATTTATAAAATCTTCGACTAGATTTTTTAACCCACATGGCCCTGCACGTCTTTTCCCAAGTTGTAGAATTAACTTTCAGACAGGATAGGAAGACTTATAGAATTTTGAAAATAACTTTACTCTTAGAATTATAAAGAATGCACGAGAAATCGAGTACAATGTATCATGTCTAGATTGATATTATTGAACACATTGATCTTTTACTAGTCGTAGTTCGACGACAGACTAAAATTTACGATATATGATTTAAAATACAAGCATACAATGTAATGTATCTATCTTACTTTGACATGTGATGAAGACAATCGAGCTCTGTGGCTGCTATCTAAATGATGCATTATGAAAAATGAATCGGCATCGTTGACTGATAGCTAGAAAGAAAATCAATATGAAGATGGTGCCAATTAAACCACTTGTTCGTTAATTCGCTTATGACAATCTGCCTTTGATGCTCCGAGGGAGATTGGCGCTGCAGCTTCGTATACGATAGGCTATTTCAGAGTGAACATTCATCCTGTACATTCACCAGTCAAGAAAGCATTGACAATAACTAAAATAAACTAGTAGAAAATGAAGGCAAAGGAATATATTACATTCCTTCTCATAGCAAGTGCACATCATAAATATGAACTAAGGAAACTCATCCCTATTCAACTTTATTCTCACAAACTCTCTTGAAGATAATTCTAGGATTTGCATATTTACATATTAAACAAAAAGAAAAAGTAACGCTCTTGCTTTGTTTCTTTTAGTCCAAACAAAGAGATGGGTGAAAACTTGAACCTTTCTTCAAATAAGGTTACTAATACCTTGACTAGTTTAGCTAAATTTGAGTGGAAATCTTCCTGGAATTCTTGCTATTATGATTGGAAGTTACAAATAGGTATATTATCGTATGCACAACTAAAATATACTATACTAAATAAAACTAGAAATGCAAAAATAAGTTTTAGGCTTTTAATCCAAATGATTGTGTACTGAGAAAATAGTCTGCCAATTCTGAAATTTCTGAGTGGAACAACTCTCCTTTCAAAATGTTAATGGCATTTTCAGGAATGTCCCATAATATAGTTTCAATGTCAAAAGTAGAAATTATCAAACACAAAAACAATTTAACCAACAGAACGAAGAGCAAATGACTCAAGATTTTCATTCAAAGAATTATAAAAAAGAAAACAAACCTTTCATTCGTGGATCCTTTCTTTCAGTGATTAAAAAATTTTATCAAGAGAGGATCATGTTGTTGGTCGGGTCATCGTAGATAAGCCGCGTCCAGTGGGAACAACACCTTGAAAATCTTGGTCTGAACCTTCCTCTTCAAACGAACCTGCATCCACACCAAATAAGACTTTGAATAAAATTTTCATAACCCACATCATGATTCGTATCTTAAATGATACACTAGAAAGATTTCAAAAAAAAAAAAAATGATACACTAAAAAGGCAAATCCTCCCAGGAAACCTACCGTTGGTGTTGAGAACAAAAATTTCATTATGATGAAATAATAATAATAATAATAATAACCAAGAAGGCTACAAAAGGACCCTGTAACTCATCAAAAAGATTATTTAAGCTACAACTTGAGAAAGAGGTCAAATAACATTTACACAACCCTAAAAGTCAGAACCAAAACATCATTAGATTTTTGTTTGATACCAAACTATAGATCAATTTATAGAGTCTACATTTTACTTACAAACAACGTTCTCCACATTATAATCAAGATGAAGTGTTACGCTCAGTAGTTAGACACCTCTACCTTTTCCAAGGTTGAAAGTGACCCTCTACTCTTTGCATTTGGAGAACTAAAAAAACTAAAGATGAAATACTAGAATGGAAACTCACCGATATTTTCTTCCCCAGCTTGAGCTCCAGCTATCCCAATGCACGTATACAGAGAATCTGCATCCACTTTCAACTGGTCATAAGCGATGTATATGTCATCAATGGTGGCAGCTTCATACAATGACGTAAGATCTTTGATGCACGATAAGTCCTGCCCCGCAGTCAGAAGAGAATGGACAGGTGAGACATCCGAGGCAACACATAACAAAATCATTGTCTATATTCTTCTCTGTTTCCAGGGTAAAAGCATAGGAACTAATGAAGAGAAGTACAAGCACACTAGTTCTACCTTCCTTGGAACAGAAGACGCTTGCAAATGAGCCAATAGGCCAAGCCAGTAAGCATTGGACTTTATTTCAGCTTCATGTCTCATAAGAAGAGTACGTTTTGCCTGCAGTTGCAAAAACGTTATTTAAAAACTTGGCTAAGAATGGAGGTGATCTACAAACTCTAAATATATAATCACACAAGAAAGAATCTGTATGCCAGATTGGATATGTAAAAAGAAGAGAGATAGGAGCAATAAACTATTTTCAGTTTGAATTGAAAACATTAAACACTGGTACCATTTTTATAAAATATCAAATGGGGAACTAATTAGGTTTTCATTAACCAGTAAACGCTCAGTTAGTCACTTAACACTTTACCCTATCCAACTCTCTTTGGGCAATTTTGTTGCTGTGTAAACCTCTCAGAACGTTCTTGCATGCATCAACAGCTTTGTACACCTGAAAAAAGGGGTTTTATTAGGGAAAGAAAAGTGGAATAAATGAACTTAAGAAGGATCTTTATGAAAATTGGGTCCAAACCTTGCCTGGAGTCGATGTTACAGATATAACATACCATCCCAGCTTAAGCCTATCAAACAGGCTCACTTCGAAGGATACATCATATGTCAATCCAAGAGAATCCCGTACACTTGTGAAAAGCCTGGAATGATCACATAAAGATTTCGAAAGAGTATCTAATCAATTCACATTCCCATTGGTAGGTTGTCATTACAACATATTTGATCTTCATATGATATATTACTTACAAGTGCTTATTCAGGTTAGTCTTCTATGATAACATAAACATGGCTAAGATGGAAATGGAGAAAGTGTTATTCTTCTCAAGGGGTAGATTAACTTTTAGTTACTTTGTTAGCAAATAAGGCAAGAGTAACGGGGAATTTAATGTGGGAAGAGATAAGAAAAACTAACCACTTAATTAGATGACGGTACCAGCCTTCAACATTAGAATTTAGAAAAGGTTGGGCATTGACATGATTATCAGCGTAAAATGCTTTATGTTAATTGTTTGCAGACAATTACACATAAATCACATTCTCTGAAGTCATTAGAAAGTAATGGCTGTGCTTCAAATGCCATAAAAAGGGATTCTTATTGGATTCTCTATTGTCCAAAAAATATCTATCAAATTCTTCGTTATTGGTGGCTTAATTCTCTCACATCCTCATTAACACTTATGTTAGAGTATATATTAGTATATTTTATATTCTTGTATATTTATTAATTTGTCATTTACCTTCTCCTTATAGGATTAGGTCAACCTTGTATATTTGTCTATATATATAGACTTTAATAATGAGAATATAGAATATTGGATTCTCTCCAACCTTACTCTCTACATGGTATCAGAGCTCTAGGTTTTGTGCCCATTAGGGTTTTGATGCCCATTAGGGTTTTGTGCCTTTGATGCCCATTAGGGTTTTGTGCCCATTAGGGTTTTGATGCCCATTAGAGTTTTGTTCCCATTAGGGTTTTGTCCCTCAGGGTTTTGTTTATTACTATCCAACTCAACACACTACTACCGACGCTGCCGCCACCGACCACCGTCGCCGCTGCTGTTTTCCAATTGCTATTCGTGGGTTTCGTCTTGCCGTCCTTCGCACCTTCGTCGTCGCCAGTCGCCGTGCGCTTCCGTCACCGCCAATCGCCTTCGCCCCTCTGGTTGTCGTGGGGTAGCACTTAGGGTTTTTGGTTTCAAAAAACACCTGATC